CCCAAGAACACAACACAATGTCCCCGGCCAGGGCTCGAACCCGGACCACTCGATCCGGAGACGAGCGCACTAACCATGAGGCCACCGCGCCTCCCACCACCCCATTGAGACCCTCAAATACTGATGGCTTTTCCAGTTCACCGGAAGTTAAGCAGATAGTCACGTTTTTATACTGTAGACATACTCTCTTTTCTCTTTTTATTTAGGAACTGATGGATGGAGACTTTCCACAACTGTCTCCAGGTGACTTAGTCGTTTGTAGTTAAAAAGTGTAGGAATAAATGATATGACATTCAATTTCTTCCTGGTACGGTCAGGGAATATTACCAATTATTATATGGCTGTGTCTCACAAGGACTGGGAACTACCGAATTCACGAATTTGATTGGCTGAAATCGATATTGACCGCGGTCTAGANAAAAATGTTCACCGTTTTCTTTTATTTTCTTCTCAATCATTTATGGAAGTGCCAAAAAGCCTGATGACAAAAAAAAAAGTAAAGAGGACAAGCAAATTTAGGCAGGTTTAAGTTAAGTTCATTTCCGTATGCAAGCAAAATTTCAGCAAACCAGTTACATTAAACGAATTAAAATTTTCTTCTTTGCCATAAAATAAACATCTTATTAACCGAGCTAAGTCGGTCTGTATGGGAGAATCCTGACCTCGGTCGTGTGTACAGACCTCACTGGGTTCTGTCTGTACTCACGACCTCGGTCGAGATTCTCCCATACTGACCGACTTAGCTCGGTTAATAAGAGCTAAGTATTGCGATCATCTCATAGCAGAGACGACATAACATGGTAATGTTGTATCACTTTTGTAATTTAGTTTATATTGTATTTCTCAAACTGTAGATTTCATTCAAGGCTACTTTGCCGATCTTCCTGAGGAGACCGATTCAACTCAGTGGAATAGTCAATCTCAAATTCCACAAGGAGATTTATTTGTACCAAGTGTAGACTTGGGAAATTGTCGTTCCGACCTTGGATTGACAGATCAAACTGGGAGGTCTATGACCTTGCCTGCATTTAATAATACTTGGAATGGAACAGTAGGAGCCATGCCACCTATCGCACCAGTTCTATTACAGAGTCAGGTGAATTAGAACTCTAACTAACATACTTGCCATAATACGCTGGTTAGTTTTGCAAAATTTGATTTAAATCTCTGCGCTACAAATTTCTTCCATAGAAATTACCTTGCTTTTGTTTCTGCGCAGAAAAGAATGTTTATAACTATTACCAATATATCAGGATCTAAGAAGACCAACGTTTCCTATTTTATTGTTAAAAATTTGTACCAAAATAACACAGCAGCCTTTTTTTCCTGCCATTGATCTCTTTTTGCCAGACATTTCCAATAAAGATCCCTCAATTAAGGTGTCTCCCTATAGTTTTACAGTCGCACGCGCGCTGAGGATGCGAAAACTTAAGGTGGCCGAACACAGTTTCTGATTCCTGTGTTTCATCACCTTTTTCTCTAAAACCATTGCTCCTTTGGTCGCCCAAAATGGCAACACGCAAACAACACAAACTTCGGTTTTTTGATAGTTAAGCTGACGTATGTGCCGTTGCCATGGCAACATAAAGAAATATACACCGACCTTTAAAAAAACTGTGTTCAGCCACCTTAATTTTTGAGGTAATAAGCAATAATGAAATAATGTTTTACTATCATTTTTTGTTAAATCTTGGCCTTTAGTCTTGAATTATTAATGACCAAAGAAATGAAATTTTAACCGTTTATTTCCGAGTGATCCTGGATTAATCTGTTTAGTTAAAAAAGAAACGGAAAATCCGTTTTTGGATTTTTCCAAAGAAACGCACCCTTGCAATTGAAAATTCTAATATAAAAAACCCTCGATCATGGAAGGTTTTTTGATGTTTTGCGATAAAGACATGCTTTTAGGATTTAATCAATTCCCAGTTGTGTCAATTTAAACGACAAAGTAATTTTGAGCAAATTATTCCGCAGCCGCGAATTAGAGCTCTGTTAATGTGCAAAGGCTTGAAAGTCCCAACAAAGGGATAGAAAATCAGAAGGAAAAAAGTTCCATTTGGTTCCTTCCACATAACAAGTATTGCAAATAGTACAAGTCAGGTGACGATAATTTCTAGATCCCAGCTGAGTCCGCATAAAATTCCTTATATCGATCACGTTAGCTATAGTGAACGTATAAACAAATGCTGTTCGAAAATGCGCAAAAACTTAAAATTATGACCATAACACTACAGAATAGGCCGTTTTGATTTCCCCGTTGACGTTCCACTTATGCCTTTCGATGTTGGGAAATGATGAAATGCAAACTAGTGTCAGATGAATAGCTCTCCGTCAACGTGGCTCAGGGTTGCAGGTATGCACAATGCATAGCGAATGAAGTTTCCCAGCACTTGTGACCAGGATTGTGCATCATAATAGCCAAAACTGTAATCCATGCAGTTTTTCAAATAAGAAACAACGGATGGTAGATTCACTTTCCCATTATTTTTTCTTTCAGCCTTATCAAAATCAGGTGTCTGAGTTTCGCGCGACCTACACTGATACCGGTGGACAATCTGAGAGCAGTTTCTTGTCAGAAGGTAAGGATGACTCAGTTTTCAGCTGGAAAGGTCTACTCCTTTCAGTTTTGCAAAAACTGGAAACTAGTGGCATACTTGATGACAAGGGCTTGTTAGCCCTGGTGATACGTGTCCAGTTTGTTCAGTAATTATTCAAGTGATGAATAAAATTGGAGGCTGCGAAGTGGAAGTCCTATTTGTTTAATCACGAGCCTGAGTAAGAGGCCTAGTCCACTCTAGTTAAATAACGACATAATCGCTAATTATAATTTAGCTAATGTGAACATCGACAAAAAGACATAAGGCTAGGTAAAAAGAAGACTTTTAAGAAGAAATGGTACAATTATAACGCCAGAAGAAAAGAGTGGATGCGTTCAACAAGACGCTAGCAGAGCCCATCGCCGGTACCACAACCTCGGCAGAGGTCTTTATGTGGATGATTGAGAATATTATTTCAAGTAAACGGGATTAACATTCCTGATCACACTTGGCAGTCACCATCATTTTGAAAATAGTGCTGCTGGCGCACTGTGTTCGACAATTCTTGCACCGCTCAGATTGATTCTCTGTTACGTTGTTATGTTGACCGTGTTCACACTTGTTTAAACAGAAACTTAACGTCATAACAAACATAGACATAACAGCATCAGGAAGAAATCAGTTTTTTCCTTATGCCGTTATGCACTTATCAATGTTAACCCGCAGGTTTACGGCGGGGGGGGGGGTAGAGGCAGGCAGGGATTTGATGCCTAGGGCGATCAATGATTTTCTAGTGTTCTTTTATCTGTTTTATGTAGTAGTATTTGGTTATTTTACGCATGTCTAAGGCCTAAGGTGGCGCTTGTTTGATGCTGGTACTTTTGATTGACGTCTGTTTCCCCATCCTGGGAATTTGATCGAAAATTTGTAAATTTTGTCAAATCCCCACTCCCTGCCCGTTTCCCCCCACCCCCAATCGGGATTTACATTGGTGGGTGCGTTATGTTCATGTTGCTATGCGCCATATTTCGCATTGTTGTTTAGTTCCCGCCATTAGCTCGCGTAGCATGACGCATTGTGCACGTTGTCCTTTAGGTTGCTTCATTGTTTCGCTTCGTATGCACGCTGTTGTTTAGTTAGCCTCATTGTCACACGGTTCACGCATAATTAGCTTGGAACCTTTGTTACCGCTTTTGCCTGCTTCGTTTGTATTGTATTTGTTTCTTGTCTTCGGTCAATAAACGTGTTCTCTCTTGCTCGGAGTTTCGGTTGAACTTACTGGCGATGTTGCTATTATGTCGTTATGTTAGGATATTCACACTGCAAACATTAGGACATATGTCCTGCTTATATCGTTATGCGTATGCCGTTATGTTGTTATTTAGCAAGTGTGAACCAGGCCTAACCTGTCCTAACCTCGTTTCCAGGGTTTCACTTCTTCCTGTCCCCTGAAGAGAGAGAGCCTGGGAATGAGTTGAACCTGTTCCAGTCTCTCGGTCAGTGGAGGCGATCGAAAAATGGGGCGAGTACAACGAGTGGGGTCTGCTCGTTACTCTTTCCCTCCCAAGCTACTTTCGATCGCCAGTATCTGAGAGCCTGGAACAGCTAGCCGTAATATGATTACCAACCCAATAAGACGACCAAGTCCTGTTACCAGTTAATCGTACACGTAACTATAACAACGTTTGAGAAAGATAGGTCGAGAAGTTTTTCTCTTTAGTCAATAAAAGTACTTGAATTGTCTTCGACATCCCTGGAGAAGGAACATTCAAGTGGAACAGTCCGATAGTAGCAGGCGCAAACAAACTCCTACTGTCCCAAAACAACGTGCACAATACATAAATACTCAAATTAATCGTATCTATAACAAAATTCTCGATCGTGATTGGTTCTACGCGCACCTATTTGTCACGTAATCGGCGCGCGATGACGTTGGTGTCCAATTACAGGTATCCAATTTGAACTTTTTGTAATTGGATACCCACGTGATTCGCACGTCAATTTACGCGCATCAATGGCTTCTTACGCAATGTTTCCTACAGTTTTCAAAACTTATGTAAAGCGCCACGGATGTGTACGCTCAAAAGAAGTTTTTAAAAGACATTTTGAATTCCGAAATTTGTCAGTTATAGATACGATTAATTATTAATTGGACCTTGTGTCGTATAATTCAGAGAGAAATCGTGCTCGTAATTTCAAATCGGCCTCGTGCTTCGCGTTCGTCCGATTTTGAAATTACTTGCGCGATTACTCCCTGAATTGTACTCCACTAGGTCCAATTACTCTTACTAATAAGCAATCAAATTTGGGAATTTTGTTATAGGTATGATAATAGTTGCTGTAGCATAACCCGAACGTTTGGCAAACATGCTACAATTTATATTATAGAACAATATTTCTTCTTTGAATGATATTTGAAACTCACGTTTTTCCAGCCAACTTTTCTAGCCAACTTTCAAATCTAAGTCTGATTGACCGAAAATCACTGAAAATGGAGACATTGAAACAAAACATGATGTTTTGTCGTGTTGTGATTACTTAAGTAAAGTGAAACTTTTTTTTGTTAACTTTTATTTGTGGTATAGGGAATTCGTCCAAAGACCAAGCCCTCGATATGCCACCAGAAGCTGTTGTAGAAATCAACCCCGCCAAGGATCTTCCAGAGGTGATATATTTTTAACCACTTTTACACGTATGATTTCACTAATTGCCTATCTCAGACAAGTTGCTGACCAGAAACGTATCTCACGAATAGCGTGCTAGCAGACCTTCTTTGCGGTCGTCACGCAATCTCCCCCCCCCCCCCCCCCCCCCCCGAACGTCTATTGTGGCCAAGGGCACATTCCTTCCCCTTTGTCTGCTCGCGTCCCGATCAAGGCTGCGGACTTTGGACCTCGATAAATTTTGCAAGACGCAGTCAACGGATACCAGCGTGGCCTCTCAACCCCCGGGGG